ATCACATGAGGTCAGGAGTTTGAGACCAGCCTTGCCAACATGGTAAAACTCCATCTTTACTAAAAATATATAAATTGGCCAGGCATGGTGTAACACACCTGTAATCCCAGCTACTTGGAAGCCTGACGTAGGGGAAGCATTTGAATCCAGGAGGCAGAGGTTGCAGTGAGCGGAGACTGTGCTCTTGCACTCCAGCCTGGGCAACAATAGCAAAAACTCCCTCTCAAAAAAAAAAAAAAAAAAATTATGAATAGGCCAGGCACAGTGGTTTATGCCTGTAATCCCAGCACTTTGAAAGGCCAAGGCAGGCAGATCACTTGAGGTCAGCAGTTCAAGACCAGCCTGGTCAAGGTGGTGAAGCCCCGTCTCTATTAAAAATACAAAAATTTGCAAGGTGTGGTGGCGCATGCCTGGAATCCCAGCTACACAGTTAGCTCAGGCAGAATTGCTTGAACCGGAGAGGCAAAGGTTGTAGTGAACTGAGATCACACCATTACATCTAAGTACAAATGAATGACAATTAGACCAACAGCAGACAGCCTCAGAAACAACAAAAAACAATGAGATCATATCATCAAAGTCCAAAAGAGAAATAAGTGTCAACCTAGAATTCTATATCCAACCAAACTATCATTCAAAAATGAGTGAAAATGAAGATATTTTCACAGAAAGACTGAGAATTTTACTATTCAGAGTCCAAGAATTAAGCATATGCTTTGAGATACACTTCTCAAAAGGAGAAAAACAAAAGAATAGACCAAAAAAGTCATTAATCATGTTGGTCAATTTAAACAAAGTAAACAGTAAGAACAATTTCTATCAATGTCATTCAAAAAAAGGAGAGGCATTATTCTAGAGTAAAAGTTACTAAGAGAATAAACAATCACATGTAATGAACTAACCTTCCTTGGATCCTGGTTTGAAAAATACAAACATTAACACAGGACCTTTTGGAATTTGTAAGAAAAATTTCATTTATAAATTTTAAAAAAGAGAAAGAAAAAATGTTATGTATAGTCTATAAGCCTATATATGTAATAAAATTATTTTATAAACATAATCAGAACAAAGATTATATTCAGAATAGTGAAATCAGTAAGGAAGTTGAAGAAAGGTGGATATCCAAGGATTAACTACATATGTACATTTTTTAAAAATCTAAAGTGAAGATTGCAAAACTTTGCCAAAAAGTGGTGTTTAATAAACAAGTATGTATATTATTCTCTGTACTTTTCAATATGCTAAAATACAATTTTTAAAAACATTTTTAATCTTTTCCTTTTTTTTTTTTTTTTTTTGAGATGGAGTTTTGCTCTTGTTGCCCAGGCTGGAGTGCAGTGGCACGATCTTGGCTCACTACAACCTCCGCCTCCCAGGTTCAAGCGATTCTCCTGCCTCAGCCTCCCAAGTAGCTGGGATTACAGGCATGCACCACTATGCCTGGCTAATTTTGTATTTTTAGTAGAGACAGGGTTTTGCCATGCTGGATAGGCTGATTTCGAACTCCTGACCTCAAGTGATCCACCCGCCTCAGCCTCCCAAAGGGCTGGGATTACAGGCATGAGTTACCACGCCCGGCCTTAAAAACATTTTTAAAGTAAATTTCGATGCAGTATGTAAGGTACAGGAAGGCGGAAAAGGTTGTTTTACCACAAAAAATATAAAATAATGTTTAAGTACCCCAGCTCAGATCAAGGTTCTATACTAGGAAAGAAAAAAGGACTCCCAAGAGTATAACTTCTAACTGGACTTCCTAAACAGACACATTTTCCCTCAGTATAAAAGTAAGTAAAGAAACCTCCAAATGGACATAAGAATTTCATGGATTCAAAGTGGTAAACGAAGCTGGACAAGAGTGCAAAAGCCCTTTCCCAGCTGAAACAAAACATAAAAAACACAATGCCAAGAGCTCTGTTGACTAGTGGATCTGAAAAAAGACAGAGAGAGAGAAATAATAATTCAAAAATAAGATCAAAAAAGATAAAAACAAAACGAAGACCTTTCAGAAGAATTCTATCATAATTAAGGACTGTCTAAAGCTACCATGGAACCAGAATGCTCTATCTGAAGCTCTTCCTCGTTTATCAAACCATGCAGCCTTTTCTTTATTTTTTTAAAAAACAGAATCTCTTGTGCTCACTTCAGCTGTACATATACTAAAATTGGAACAATACAGAGAAGATTAGCATGGCCCCTGATCATGGATAATACTAATTTTTAATTTAAAAAAAATTTTTAAGTTAAAATTTAAGAGAAAGAGAGATAGGGTCTCACTCTTGCCCAGGCAGGAGTGTTGTGCACTGGAGCAGTCATAGCTCCCTGCAGCCTTGAACTCCTGGGCTCAAACGATCCTCCCACCTCAGCCTCCTGAAAAGCTAGGACTAGAGGCACACACCACCATGCCTGGCTAATTTTTTATTTTTTGTAGAAAGTAGGTCTCACTATGTTGTCCAGGCTGGTCTCGAACTCCTGGGCTTAAGCAATCTTCCAGCCTCAGCTTCCCAAAGTGCTGGAATTATAGGTGTAAGTCACTATGCCCAGCCCCATGCAGACTTTTTTCTATGTTGTCTCTTCTGGTTGTACCTAAACTGAGCCTTGCTCTCTGGTCTACATTTTTTTCCAACCAGTGTACTCCCCAAATATACCTGACTCTCAAACCAATTATCTATCCCAGTGATTAAGTCCTGTGCTAACTGCTGTCATGACCTTTCGCCTGACTGAACTATAGCCTCCAACTATTACCTCCTCCAATTTAGCTATATAATTTGTTTTTCATTCATTCATTCCTTCAATTATCTATCCATTTACTGAATCTAATTAAAATGTCTTGTACACAAGTACTATGCAACTGAGCAAAATGAATATTAAATATTGTGAAAATTATTTTAGGTATGATAATAGTGTGGTAGTTATTTAGGAAAATGTACTCATTTTTATGAAAATGTATGCTGAAACATTTTGAGTGAAGTGTCACTATCTAGAACTTATTTGGTTTAGCATATACACACATACAAACACACATAAAGCAAATATGGTCAATGTTAATTGTTGAAACGGGGATAGATATTCGGGTTAATTATTGTGCTATTCTTTCATGTTAAAAAAATTGTGAGCTTCTACAAAAAACCTGTACAGATATTTATAGCAGCATTACTCATAACAGCCAAGAGGTGAAAACCACCCAAATGTTCATCAACAGATGAACGGATAAACGAAATGTGGTAGAGGCACACAATGGCGTGTATTCATAAAAAGGAATGCAATACTGACTGATATGTGCCACAACTTAGATGAACTTCGAAAACATTATGCTAAGTGAAAGAAGCCAGTCACAAAGTCTATATGTTATATGATTCCATCCATATGAAAATCCACACAGGGGGCTCTAGAGACAGAAAATATCTTTATAATTGCTTTGAACTGGAGAAGCGAAGAGGGATTTGGGGTGATAACTAAAGGGTAAGAGCTTTCTTTTCAAGGTGATGAAAATGTTTACAATTGTGATGATGGTTGCACATTATTTGTGAATTTAGCAAACACCAAGAAAATTATACATTTTCAATAGGTGAATTATATGTGAATTATATCTGAACAAATATGATTTTTAAAAATTGAAAGATGATACATGCTACAAGATGTATAAAACTTGAAAATACTGTACATGTGGTGCCTCATGCCTGTAATCCCAGTACTTTGGAAGGCCAAGAAAAGAAGATTGCTTGAAATCAGTTTGAGAAAACATTGTGCAAAATTAAAAACAGTGTAAGTGAAAGAAGCCAGAAACAAAAGGCCTCGTATTGTATGACTTCATTTATATGAAATATCCAGAACAGGCAAATCCAGAGATAAGTATTTTACTCAGCCAGGCATGGTGGCTCACACCTGTAACCCCAGCATTTTGGGAGGCTGAAGCAGGCAGATCATTTGAGGTCAGGAGCTCAAGACCAGCCTGGGCAACATAGTGAAACCCTGTCTCTACTAAAAATACAAAAAAAATTAACCTGGTTTAGTGGCATATGCCTGTAATCCCAGCTACTCGGGAGGCTGAGGCAAGAGAATTGCTTGAACCCAAGGCAGAGGTTGCAGTAAGCCGAGATTGTGCCACTGTACTCCAGCCTGGGCGACAGAGCAAGACTCCATCTCAAAAAAGAAAAAAAAACAAGTACATTACTGGCTGCCAGGGACTAGAGGGAAAATGAAACTCACTGTTTAATGGGTTAGGGGGTTTTCTTTGAGATGATGAAAATAATCTGGGGGCTGGGCTCAGTGGCTCATGCCTATAATCCCAGCACTATGGGAGGCTGAGACAGGTCAATCATTTGAGCCCAGGAGTTCGAGACCAGCCTGGGCAACACTGCAAAATCCCATCTCTACAAAAAAAAAAAAAAAAAAAAAAAACACACACACACACAAATTAGTTGGGTGTGGTGGCACACACCTACACTCCCAGCTACATGAGAGGCTGAGCGGTAAGGATCACCTGAGCCTGGGGTGGTGAAGGCTACAGTGAGCTGTGATTGTGCCCCTGTACTCCAGCTTGGGCAAGAGTGAGACCCTGTCTCAAAAAAAAAAAAGAAAAAGAAAAAGTTCTGGAATCAGATAGTGATAATGACTAAACAGCACTGTAAATATACTAAATGCCGCTGAGTTATACACTTTGCAATAACTGAAATAGTGAATTTTATATTACATGCATTTCACCACAATAAAAAAATGGAGAAAAAAAGACAAAGAACATAAATATTATCATAATGGGAAAGAATGACAAGAAGGAAGTTTAAAAGAGAAAAAGATAAATAACCAACCTGGAAGTGAAGCAGGATACTGACAAAGAATACTCTTTGCATACACTTCTTCTGAAGCAGGATCAAATGAAAGGGGAGACATTGGTGGTAAAAGATCTACAGACTTAAAACAGAAATTCACAATTTTGAAGTAAACATATTTGCTAACTACAATAACAACGCTGAGTTAATCTATAAATCTATAATCATTTCTCCCTAAGACAGACAATTACCAAGCATACATCAGATAACTTTATTTATTTGTTTATTTATTTATTTATTTTTCTCAGAGACAGGTTCTTACTCCCTCATCCAGGCTAAAGTGCAGTGGCATTATCATAGCTCACTGCAGCCTCAATCTCCTGAGCTTAAGCAATCCTCCCACCTCAGCCTCTCGAGTAGCTAGGCCTACAGGGATACACCATAACACCCAGTTTTGGGGGTTTTTTTTTTGGTAGGGTTGGGGTCTCACTATGTTGTCCAGGCTGGTCTCCAATTCCTGGCCTCAAATGATCCTCCTGCCTCAGCTTCCCAAAACAGAGATTACATGTGTGAGCCACCACACCCAGCCCTGTAAAGTATTTTTAAAGCAGAGTATTAGGAGCAGGGGAGATTACTTAGTCCCTGAACTTCTCAAATGTCATAGTACCTCACATGAAGAGGAGTCCTGTTTTCTGACTGGGCATAACGGCTCACGCCTGTAATCCCAGCACTTTGGGAGGCAGATGTGGGTGGATTACCTGAAGTCAAGCATTCAAGACCAGCCTGGCCAACATGGTAAAACCCCATCTCTACTAAAAATACAAAATTAGCCAGGCATGGTAGCACATGCCTGTAATCCCATCTACCCAGGAGGCTGAGACAAAAGAACCGCTTGAACCCAGGCAGCTGCAGTGAGCTGAGATCACACCATTGCACTCTAGCCCAAGCAAAAAGAAAGAAAGGAAAATTATAGAATACACGTGAACTTTAGATGCAAATGCAAAGATGACATACATACAACATTTCTAGGTCATCTGTAACACAATAAATTCACAAATTACCATATATCAAACTATTCTCCCAAAGACAAACTGGCTGAGTGCAGTGGCTCATGCCTGTAATCCCACCACGTTGGGGAGGCCAAGGCAGGAAGATCACTTGAGCCCAGGAGTTTAAGACCAGCCTTGGCAATACAGGGAGACCTTGTCTACAAAATTAAAGAAAAACTTAGCCAGGCTTGGTGGTGTACACCTATAGTGCCAGGTACTCGAAAGGTTGAGGTAGGAGGATTGCTTGAGCCCAGAAGTTCAAGGTTACAACAAGTTATAATCATGCCACTATATTCCAGCCAGCTATGATCATGCCACTGTACTCCAGCCAACTATGATAGATTACTCTGCTCCAGCCTGGGCAACAGAGCAAGACACTGTCTCCAAAAAAAAAAAAAAAAAAAAAAAAAAGGTGGGCCAGCGGGAGGGGCAAATAAATATTACTTGACGGAGTCCAACTTTTAATTAGACTGAAAGGAGACAAACCAAGAAATTCTTTCCACTTTTTATGCCATTCTCCCTGCTTTTCAACAACAGAATATCTTACAGTTGTGAGATCATCTTTTATTCTATACCTATAATAGAAAAAAAAAAACTTTATTCAAAATATGAAGATACAAAGAAAGCATTGAGTAAAATTTAATAACAATAGCTGTAGAGAAGTGAAAGGAAAGAGAACTGCTGCAAGTTCAATCAATATACCACATACATATTAAACTCTCACAGGTGATATTCAGAACCTAAAATACCTTTCTCTCATTTTTTGTTTTTTGTTTTTTGAGACGAAGTCTCACCCTGTCACCCAAGCTGGAGTGCAATGGTGTGATCTTGGCTCACAGCAAGCTCCGCCTCCCAAGTTCAAGCAATTCTGCTGCCTCAGCCTCCAGAGTAGCTGGGATTACAGGCATGTGCTGCCACCACACCTGGATATTTTGTATCTTTAGTAGAAATGGGGTTTCACCATGTTGGCCAGGCTGGACTTGAACTCCTGACCTCGAGATCCACCTGCCTTGATCTCCCAAAATGCTAGGATTACAGGGGTGAGCCACAGAGTGCAGCTACTTTCTCTTTTTAAGACCAGAGAGCAGGCCGGAAGCAGTGTCTCACATCTGTAATCCCAGTACTTTGGGAGGCCAAGGTGGGCAGATCCCCTGAGGTTAGGAGTTCAAGATCAGCCTGGCCAACCTAGTGAAACCTAGTGTCTACTAAAAATATAAGAATTAGCTAGGCCTGGTGGTGGGTGCCTGTAATTCCAGCTACTCAGAAGGCTGAGGCGGAGAGAATCGCTTGAACCCAGGAGGTGGAGGCTGCAGTGAGCCGAGATTGCACCATTGCACTCCATACACTCCAGCCTGGGAAACAAGAGTAAAACTCTACCTCAAAAAAAGTAAAATATAGGCCGGGCACAGTGGCTCATGTCTGTAATCCAGCACTTTGGGAAGCCAAGGTGGGCAGATCACAAAGTCAGGAGTTCAATATGGTGACCAATATGGTGAAACCTCGTCTCTACTAAAAATACAAAAACAATTAGCCGGGTGTGCTGGCATGCGCCTATAGTCCCAGCTATTTGGAAGGCTGAGGCAGGAGAATCATTTGAATCCGGAAGACAGAGGTTGCAGTGAGCCGAGATCGTGCCGGTGCACTCCAGCCTGGGTGACAGAATGAGACTCCGTTTCAAAAAAAAAAAAAAAAAAAACAAATAAAAAATTAAATTAAAATTAAAACGAAAAATTTTTAAAAGACAGGGTGCAGTGGCTCATGCCTATAATCCCAGCACTTTGGGAGGCCGAGGTGGGTGGATCAGGAGTTCAAGACCAGCCTGGCCATGATGGTGAAACCCTGTCTCTACAAAAAATAAAAATAAAAAATAAAAACACAAAAAAGCAGTAATATAATATTCCATTTATTTATTTATTCATTTATTTTTGAGACAGAGTCTCGCTCTGTCACTCACCCAGGCTGGCATGCAGTGGCATGATCTCGGCTCACTGCAACCTCTGCTTCCTGGGTTCAGGCAATTCTCTTGCCTCAGCCTCCTGAGTAGCTGGGATTACAGGCACCCACCACCATGCCTTGTTAATTTTTGTATTTTTAGTAGAGATGAGGTTTTACCATATTGGCCAGACGGGTCTTGATCTCTCGACATGAGGTGATCACCGGCCTTGGCCTCCCAAAGTGCTGGAATTAGAGGCGTGAGCCACGACACCTGGCCACTCCATTATTTTTAAAATAGAATTTTTTCCTAGCTCTAAACTTGAGTAGGGTAGGACTTCCATTCCCACTCTTTGTCACTCCCACTGTCTAACCATTCATAGAAGCAGCCCCTATTTTCTATTCTTTCTGCTCAATTAAAAAATTTTTCAGCCAGGCACGGTGGCTCACGCCTGTAATCGCAGCACTTTGGGAGGCCGAGGCAGGTGGATCACGAGGTCAGGAGTTCAAGACCAGCCTGGCCAACATGGTGAAACCCTTTCTCTACTGCAAACACAAAAATTACCTGGGCATGGTGACACATGCCTGCAATCCAAGCTACTCAGGAGGTTGAGGCAGGAAAACTACTTGAACCGGGATCCAGGAGGCGGAGGTTGCAGTGAGCCAGGACTGTGCCACTGCACTCCAGCCTGGGCTACAGAGCAAGACTTCACCTCAAAAGAAAAAAAACTTTTCTAAAGCCTCGTTTAATGATTAGACCCAACAAAAGGAAACTACAGAAAATCTAAAATTATTTCATAAAAAAATTATCATTTGGAGCAAATCATTTATTCCATTAATTTTGCTTTTCCTTTCTGCTTCATGTGTATCTCCAAGAGTTGATTAAATAAGGTTTTTGAGTACTAGTAGAATTCTCATGCTTATATGCCAAAGCTGAAGAGCTACTAAAGTTATACAAGTATTTGCTGAGAAAACCACCCTACTCCTCCCACAGTAAAACAGCAGATCTTTCTAGTGTACCTCATATGCTTCAGATCTGATAATCTTTCCTTCTGAAATTTGGTCTCTTTTTCAAGGTAGTGAAGGTCTACTGTCAATCCTGCTTGGTCAGACTGACAACTTTCGTATTTCATTATTTTCAAGACTTCATTCAATAATTGAATAACTGTTAAGAGGTTTAATTTTCCAGCCTCATAAACATTTCCTATGTGCAACTAAAAAATCAGGAGAAAAAAGTAGTGAACTATAAGTTGATACAATAATAAACTATTACATAAATACATTTAGGCTTTTTACGATTAAAGTTTACCTTAAAAAAGAGAGAAAAAAAATCAAATACCCCCAAACATAAAATGACTTAAATAATTTTGGTCCAATGAAAACTACTGTGAAAGAACTAACAGGCCTTGCTACATTTTTATATTATGTAAAAGGTTGAAAACTAGAATAAAAGAAATGTTAGCCAGGCGCAGTGGCTCACACCTATAAGCCCAGCACTTTTGGAGGCCGAGGGGGGTGGATCACCTGAGGTCAGGAGTTCGAGACCAGCCTGGCCAACATGGTGAAATTTGGTCTCTACTAAAAATACACAAATTAAGCGGGCATGGTGGCCAGTGCCTATAATCCCAGCTACTCAGGAAGCTGAGACAGAAGAATTGCTTGAACCTGGGAGGTGGAGGCTGCAGTGAGCTGAGATGGCACCACTGCACTCCAGCCTGGGCAACAAAGAGCGAAACTCCATCTAAAAAAAAAAAAAAACAGGAAAGAAAGAAATGTTAACAGATGGAAAGAAAAATAAAGATTGAGCAGAAAGGACAGGTTTGGTGAAAAGATCATAAATTCCTATTTTAACAGAAGTTACAACTCAACAACCCCTAAAAGCTGTGTCTGTATTTAAACGTGTTTCTTTGGCTTGCACAGTTCTGTATTTTAAAATTATTTAAATTAGTTGCCAATTTTTTTCTTTTTGGGACAGAGTCCCATTCTGTCATTCAGGCTGGGTGCAGTGGCTCGATCTTGGCTCACTGCAACCTCCAACTCCAGCATTCAAGTGATCCTCCCACCTCAGCCTCCCAAGTAGCTGGGACTATAGACATACACCACCAAGTCTGACTAATTTTTGTATTTTAGTAGAGAAGGGGTTTCACCATGTTGGCCAAGCTGGTCTCAAACTCCAGACCTCAAGTGATCTGACCACCTCAGCCTTCCTAAGTGTTGGCCGTGAGCCACTATGCCCAACTAATTTCCAATATTTTTTAAATCATAGATTTCACACAAAAATTATGGGCCAGGCGCAGTGGTTCACATAATCCCAGCACATTGGGAGGCTGAGGCATGAGGATCATTTGAGGTCAGGAGTTCGAAACCAGCCTGGCCAACATGGTGAAACGCTGTCTCTACTAAAAATACAAAAATGGGCCAGGCATGGCACTGCATGCCTATAATCCCAGCTACTTGGGAGGCTGAGGCAGGAGAATCACTTGAACCTGGGAGGTGGAGATTTCAGTAAGCTGAGATCTCACACTACACCCCAGCCTGGGTGACAGAGCAAGACTCTGTCGCAAAAAAAAAAAAAAATTTTCTTTTTATTTTTTACTGTCCATCTTAGGAAACCACCATGTTAGGTAGTAATTTTCTCTGAAGACCTCATCACTTCCTACTTTCCCTCTACTGTAACATATAATTACTATTACTCTTCAGAGAGTCACAACAATATTTTATCTTTGCATCTACCCAGCATATAGTAGATGCTTGATGAACTGTGTTTTCTAAGAAAACAAAAAGGTAAGATATCCAGATAATGTTCCATAAGCAAGTGGAAATAATTGGATAGAGTTTGGATTGATGAGGAGAGACTGTTGAAGTCATGAAACTGTTAAGAAAAATCAAATAAACTTATAATGAGGGAAAGAATAAGAGGGCATTAAAAGAACCATGGAGAACATTATTTAAAAGTTACATAGAGCCGGGCGCGGTGGCTCAAGCCTGTAATCCCAGCACTTTGGGAGGCCGAGGCGGGTGGATCACGAGGTCAACAGATCGAGACCATCCTGGTCAACATGGTGAAACCCCGTCTCTACTAAAAATACAAAAAATTAGCTGGGCATGGTGGCACATGCCTGTAATCCCAGCTACTCAGGAGGCTGAGGCAGGAGAATTGCCTGAACCCAGGAGGCGGAGGTTGCGGTGAGCCGAGATCGCGCCATTGCACTCCAGCCTGGGTAACAAGAGCGAAACTCTGTCTCAAAAAAAAAAAAAAAAAAGTTACATAGAAAAAAAGAAACCAAGCCGGGTGCAGTGATTCACACCTGTAATCCCAGCACTTTGGGGGGCCAAGGTGGGTGGATCACTCGAGGTCAGGAGTTCGAGACCTGCCTGGCTAACACAGTGAAATCCCGTCTCTACTTAAAATACAAAAATTAGCCAGGCATGGTGGCACACACCTGTAATCCCAGCTACTTGGAAGGCTTAGGCAGGAGAATGACTTGAACCAAGGAGGGAGAGGTTACAGTGAGCCAAGATCATGCCACTATACTCCAGCCTGGGCAACAGAGTGACTCTGTCTCAAAAAAAAAAAAGAAAAAAAGAAACTAGAGTAAACAACAGCAACAGTCTGAAAGACTACAGAAAAGCAGAGACACTGAGGTCACAAAGCTAAAGGAAGAAGACTTTACAAGCAACACTTAACAGCATCAAGATAAAACAAGCCAGGGGATGGAGACTTTTTAAAACGACATTTGGCAATTATCATATTCCTACTAGGAAACCTCATACTCTCTACACTGTATGATGCAGTGCTGTACAGGTATGGGGCAATTAATAAAAGTCAATACATATAAATATACACATCTTGAACAGTATCTCTCTTTATGGAAGTTTTACTAAATATGCTTACAGAAATAAATTCTGAAAGCAGAACATTGCAAGAAAATATATAATAACAGGGCAGGAGTTTTCTCAAAAGCTTCCTTACTATCAAATGCTTACCTGAAACATTTGTTTCTCAATTTTGTCAAGTAAGAGCCTTGGAATATTAATAGCAACATTAGTTCCATCTAAAGCATATTGGTTAACAAGACTAAGAACCGAACTAACAATTTCTCTCTCTTTTTCCAAAAACATGAGTGTTTCATTCACTGAAGACCACAAAGACCGAACCTTTGCAAACAGAAACAAAATATTAAAGTCCACACATAATCTATACATATATTTTAAAACTGTAAATATATGTTAACTCTTAGTAACAAATGTCCTAGATTGATTTCTAGTAAGAAAATTAAATAATTATATTTTAATAGTTTTTAAAAAACATATCAGGAAAATCGAGCTCACTATAATTTTCAAACAAATCTAAGAATTTTTTTTTTTCTTTTAGAGATGGGGTGTTGCTATGTTGCCCAGGCCGGAATCAAACTCCTAGGCTCAAGCAACCTTCCAGCCTCCCAAGTAGCTGGGACTACAGGCACGCACCATCGCACCCAGCTCCAAATCTAAGAAACTTTATAGCAAGAGACAATTCAGATTTTCTTTTTTTCTTTTTCTTTTTTTTTTTGAGACAGAGTTTCGCTCTTGTTGCCCAGACTGGAGTGCGATGGCGTGATCTCAGCTCACCACAACCTCCGACTCCCCAGGTTAAAGCGATTCTCCGGCCTCAGCCTCCCAAGTAGCTGGGGTTACAGGCATGCGCCACCACACGCAGCTAATTTTGTATTTTTAGTAGAGACTGGGTTTCTCCTGTTGGTCAGGCTGGTCTTAAACTCCCCACCACAGGTGATCCGCCTGCCTCAGCCTCCGAAAGTGCTGGGATTACAGGCATGAGCCACCACACCCAGCCACAATTAGCATTTTCTACATGTGACATGTAATCAATCTAATGCCAATCATTCAGGGAGAAATAATTTTTAAAAATTTTCAAGAGAAAAAAACTACTACATCTCAATTTTAAGTACTCAGTTTGAGGAAAGTTAAAGTGTGAAAAATTATGCCTCATTAAAAGCAAAAAATCTTAGGCATACACTAACCTATATTCATTAAAATTTATGTACAAGAACATTTAGGCAGGCACAGAGGCGCATACCTAGAATACCAGCTACTCAAAAGACTGAGGCAGGAGGATCCCTTAAGCCCAGGATCCTTGCAAAAAAAAAAAAAAATATATATATATATATATATATGTTCATAGAATGTCTATTTGTAATAATCAAAAAGCAGAAACAACCCAAAGGTCCACCTAGAATAAAAAGGGCACATCGGTGCTATATTCATAAAATAGAACACTACACAGCAATGAGAATAAACACTACAATTACAAACAACAGCATGGATAAATATCATAAACAATGTTGAGTCAAAGTCAGACACAAAAGAATATATTCTATATAGTCCCATTTATATAAAGTTCAAAAACAGGCAAAACTAATCTTTAGTGTAACAGGTGGACAGTGTTTCCCCATGGGAGGAAACAGCTCAAGGATTCTAGGGTGCTGATAACATTCTATTCCTTAAACAATATTGGTTGCATGAGCGTGTTCACTTTGTAAAAATTTGTCAAGCTATACACTTATGATTTACAGATTTTTTGGATATATGTTATGCTTCAATCGAATTTACAAAAGAGGGAGGGAGGTGGAGAAATATGGTAATTATACACATATTCTTCCCTGCATGATACAAATACAATATTAAATATCTCTAATTAGTTCACTTTTTTTCTTTTCCATTTTTTTTGAAATAGGGTCTTGCTCTGTCACCCAGGCTGGAGTGCACTGACACAATCTCAGCTCACTGCAACCTCTGCCTCCCAGGTTCAAGTGACTCTCATGCCTCAGCCACCCAAGTAGCTGGGACTACAGGCAAGCACCCCCAGACCTGGCTATAAGAGTCCAACAGATTCAGCAAACACTGCATATCACAGAATTTAAAAAGATTAAATGTCTCCTTTCAAAAGTTGTCTCACCTTTTGAATTTTTTCTTCTATATTACTGTGGTCATCATAGAGTTCCATTCTAATAAAAATTAAACAATTAGTCATATGAAAAAAATCACTTGGTAATTTAATATCCAAAGAGCTAATTGGTCTGCAACCCACCCACCAACAACTACTCCAACAATAAAATTTAATCTGAAACCAATAATAATTTATTAGAAGAACTGGACTAGAAGTCATAACTATGTTTTATCCTATCATCATCTGACTATTGATATATTATTTTAATTAATGTTTGTGGGACTCTGTTTCCTCACCTGTAAAATGCAAGAGCTAAGTTAGTATCTAAGGCAACTTCTAGCTCTAAAAGCCACTTACTTTTTTATTTGGTTTTCCAGTCCTACACATTCAGATCTCAAGTTTCGTACATGCTTAACTGATAATCTGCAAGAAAACACAAAAAATGACAACTATAATATCATTACAATTAATTAGTATAGCCCACTTCTCTATTTTCCCTTTGCTTATCTTTGCTCAAGGCCTCTGGGTACAGCCACCAGTAAGCTAAAGGACTCTAGACTCTCTTTAACTATCATACAAGTGATCCAGCATACAGGCTCCTACTGAGATGCACCTAGGACTCATAGGTTAGTGTATCTTCTCTAATTAGAATGATGGGGGTTAGTAAGAAGGACTCTCTCTTATCCTCATCTCACATACCCCGGGGATAAATTTAAATATTATCTAATACAGTCAGACAACATTTCAATTAATTTCAAAGGATTCTATAGCTTTAGTAATAGACAACAAAGTATTCTACAAAGTTACCCTATCCCTGTATTTTGGGAGGTTGGGGCAGGAAAATTGCTACAGGCCAGGAGTTTGAGACTAGCCTGGCAACAAAGCAAGACACTGTCTCTACAAAAAAATTTAAAAACTAGCTGGGTGTGGTAGCACAGGCCTGTACTCCCAGCTACTCAAAAGCTAAGGTGAGAAGATCACTTGAGCCCAGGAGATCAAGGCTGCAGTAAGCCATGATCGTGCCACTGCACTCTAGTCTAGCTGAGCAACAGGGTAAGACCCTGTCTCTAAAAAGAATTTTTAAATTAAAAAAAAATTACATACAACTTATACTTTGAGAGTAATGCCTTGTCGGTCTTGTTTAATTCTGTAATACCAATATTTGAACAATATGACACTTAGAAGAAACTCCAAGAAAAAAAGATATGCTAAATAGATGAACCTAAATATAAAATAGATTAAGTGGTTAAAAAAAATTATGGACTACCTACCCGAAAGAATATCTACTTAATGAAATATCCATTGATCAGACTAATAGATATTAAAAGTAATACACTGGCCAGGCTCATGCCTATAATCCCACACTATGGGAGGCCAATACAAGCGGATCACCTGAGGTCAGGAGTTTGAGACTAGCCTGGCCAACATGGCAAAATCCCTTCTCTACTAAAAATACAAAAATTAGCTAGGCAAGGTGACAGGTGCCTGTAATCCCAGCTACTCAGGAGGCTGAGGCAGGAAAATCACTTGAACCCAGGAGGTGGAGGTTGCAGTGAGCTGAGATCACGGCACTGCACTCCAACCTGGGCAACAGAATGAGACTCTGTCTCAAAAAAAAAAAAAAAAAAAGTAATATACTATGGCAATATGGAAAAATTTACAAAATAAAATATCAAGACAAAAAGGATACATAATAAAATAAACACTACAATTACAACTTTAAAATATATTTCCCTATTTTACAAAGCACATATGAAAAATTAACTTTAAAACTAAAGTTGGTCAGGCACAAATGGCTCATGCATGTAATCGCAGCACTTTGGGAAGCCAAGGCAGGTGGATCACTTGAGGTCAGGAGTTCAAGACCAGCATGGCCAACATGGCAAAACCCTACTGCTACTATAAATCGAAAAAAAAAAAGCCGGACATGGTAGCAGGTGCCTGTAAACCCAGCTACTCGGGAGGCTGAGGCAGGAGAATCCTTTGAACCCAGAACATGGAGGTCGCAGTGAACTAAGATCGCACCACTGCGCTCAAGCCTGAGTAACAGAGCAAGACTCCATCTCAAAACAAATAAATAAACCAAAGTGATCTTTTCCTTTTCTCGAAACTTATATTTATAGTATGCCTGAAGTTTTAAAATATTTTATGCCGAAGTTATCTGACTATGCCCAGGCACAGTGGCCCATGCCTGTGATCCCAGCACTTTGGGAAGCTGAGACAGGTAGACTGCTTGAGCTCAGAAGTTTGAGATAAGCTTGGACAACATGGTGAAATCTCATCTCTACTAAAAATACAAAATTAGCTGGGCGTGGGGGCCTGCGCCTGTAATCTCAGCTACTCTGGAGGCTGAGGTGGGAGGATGGCTTAAGCTTAGGAAGCAGAGGTTGTGGTGAGCCGACATCACGCCATTGCATTCTAGCCTGGGAGCCTGAGTGACAGAGCCAGACCCGGTGTCAGATAGAAAAAAAAAAAAAATGACAGAAAAACAAATAAGCTCACTCACTTATAAAAAAAAAAAAAAAAAAAAAAAAAGACCACACACCGTGGCTCACGCCTGTAATATCCCAACACTTTGGGAGGCCAAGATGGGCAGATCACCTGAGGTCAGGAGTTCGAGACCAGCCTGACCAACGTGGTGAAACCCCATCTCTACTAAAAATACAAAATTAGTGGGCTATGGTGGCACATGCTTGTAATCCCAGCTACTGAGGAGGTTGAGGCAGAAGAATCACTTGAACCTGGGAGGTGGAAGTAGTGGTGACCCTAGATCATGACACTGCATTCCAGCCTGCGCAGCAAAAGCGAAAGTCCATCTCAAAAAAAAAAAAAAGTTATCTGACTTTAAAATGCAAAGATAATTGCCAGGGTTTTGAGGTAGGCATACATTATTTCTACTGAAGTTATATTGGTGACATTTGTTCAAAAGAAAGAAATTATTATGTAACTATCAAGGTACTACTTACTGTGCATTTTCCTGATATTTTTGGGTAACACAATCTTCTCTTTGTAAAATTTCTAAAAATCTGCTACGTGCTAAATGGCATCTTGCAATGCATTTGTGCAAGTCCTGTGGTTTTAAGTTAAATGTCTCTGCAAAACGATGAGAAGAATCTACATGGAACACAAATAAGATTATAGAAAACAGGCTGATCTGATAGTAGCAGGTTATCAGAATTTAACATTAGTATCACTCAAGTTGGTATACAATCTCCCACTAAATTTGATTAACTTTTTTAAAAAAGAAAAGGAAAACAGACTTACAAGCTAATAAATACCAAAAATGTTGAACTTTAATATTAAGAAACCAACATCATGTAACTAACAACTCCCCAAAAGCCAGTATACTACTAACATATAACAATACAACTAATGTTTTGCTTTGATTTCTGGGTTGTTTTCTTGAGACAGTGTCTTGCTCTCTTGCCGAGGCTGGAGTGCAGTGGCACAAGCATAGCTCACTGCAGCTTCAACCTTCTGAGTTCAAGCGATCCTCTCACCTTGGCCTCCCAAGTAGCTGGGACTGACTACAAGCACATGCCACCATGTCCATCTAGTTCTTTTTTTTTTTTTTTTTGAGACGGAGTTTCACTCATGTTACCCAGGCTGGAGTGCAATGGCGCGATCTCGGCTCACCGCAACCTCCGCCTCCTGGGTTCAGGCAATTCTCCTGCCTCAGCCTCCTGAGTAGCTGGGATTACAGGCACGCACCACCATGCCCAGCTAATTTTTTGTAGTTTTAGTAGAGACGGGGTTTCACCATGTTGACCAGGATGGTCTCGATCTCTTGACCTCGTGATCCACCCGCCTCGGCCTCCCAAAGTGCTGGGATTACAGGCTTGAGCCACCGCGCCCGGCCCATCTAGTTCTTTTTTATTATCTTTCGTAGAGACTGATTCTCAAGGTGTTGCCCAGGCTAGTCTTAAACTCCTAAACTCAAGGGATCCTCCTGTCTCAGCCT